CCTAGAGCTTCACCTGAAACAGCTACAGCTCATGTTTTCTTTAACCAATAACCTTTTAACTTGGATTTAAAGCGTAATGTATCTAGAGTCAGGTCAAAGCCAGATAGCTATGGAAAACATAATCTGAAGCAAAATCTCACTCTTACAAGAAACATATGAAAAGTGGACCTTTTTTTAAATATGTGTAAGAACATTTTATCTAGATATCCAGTCCACAGATTTTCACATAGGAAAATCCCCCTCTTTGTAAAGTTGAATGTGAAAGAGAAATATCTGCTATGTAAAATGACCATGATTGCATGCACATGTCCTAAAATACATTTGATGTGTGCAAACAACAAAACATTTTTTTTATATATATATATATATATATATATATATATATATATATATATATATATATATATACAATATATCCTTTGTAAGAATTCTGAGGTTTTGGGACCATCTGCTGGTCCGGAGACCATACGCAGTGGTTTTGTTTTCTTGTCCCTCAGGCCAACTTTGGATGTGTCTTTATGGATTAAGCAACAAAAGATTCACCCTGCACTCTTAAATACTTCTAAAATATTCTAAGATTGTGTACCAGAATAAAAGCACATTTTGGCTAAACTTCAGTAATGAGAACAGAGATGAGAAGGAGGACGAGTTAAGGGAAAGCTCAGATTTGTTAGATCAAAGAGGTGAATTTGTTTTTCCATCGGTCAGCACATTTTCATGACCAAGGTGTTCCTCCTTAAAAAATCTTTTTCATGCAAATTGTCCAATATAGGACTAAGCATTGACCTGTACTTAATATGTCTGAAGAAAAAAGTTGTTCATCTTTGACACTAAAAGCAAAAATATTGCTTAGATTTATTCTTGATTAGTTAGAAACAACTCTCTTAACTGTTTCATTAATTAAAAAGGATTTTGTGAATATCAAAGGCAAATTGACGACAAGGAATAACGCAAAAAAAGGAAGTGACAAGTGAAATCAAAAATGTTTGACAACACCGATCATCAAAAACAGTGAGTAGAGCAACATTTCTATGTTCTGTTAGGCTGCTATTTGAGGAAACAGAGAAAACATGAGGAACAAATAACACATAATAAAAAAAAAGGCAGCTTTTCTTTTCTTAAACAATTAAAATAGTCATCCAAAGACCAGCAGAAGCTTTGTATGGCCGCCTGAACTGAGCTACTAATAAATAATAATAAATCATATACGGAAAGAAGGCCAAGGCCTTTATGGGAAGAGCCACCCATATATTGACTGCACATCATAGCAGTCCTCGTCTTGTAGGCCGCATTATAAATCCTGTTTCCAAAAGATATACGATATGTTTGAAGTGTAGGAGCTGCCTCTACTTTCCTGTCCAAACTGTTTCAGAATTTCATAAGTTTCAACTACCAAAATAATATACTTTTACTTGTAACATTTGAAATTAACTTACCTCTTATTTTGTACAAAGTGTCAGGCCTTCTTGTGTGTGTCTTACGGGACGTATGATGCTATTAATGAATCAGGGAGCTTGTGCAGATTTTTAGGGGTGAAAAAAAATGTTTCAAAGACACAAAGGAAAAGAGAGAGAGCGAGAGAAAGGCAGACAGGGAAAAGAATCAGTTAAGAGATGAGAAGCGGAGAATTCAAGCTGAACAAGGGGTCGTCCCCCTTAAAACTGCCCCCTAAGAAAGTTTCATTTGTAGAAACACATGGAGTCTTTTATTTGTAAAACAAATCAGGAGCCTCAAGGTTTATCTCAACATTTATTGATAAAAAATTACAGGAAGCGTTTTTTTTACAACTCTGGGATTTTAAAAAGATTATGCTTAAACACATAAGCTGTATTTTGTTGTTAAAACTTGAAAAGAAAGCAGCTGAAATATCTCTTACACTAAACAAGATCAATTCTAAATGGTTATTTGTCTACTTAAGGGGAAGCAAAGTTTTTAAAAAATAAGAAATCAGCATTACATTAGCATTACATTGTCCTAAGTTTAGACAATACTTTATATGCGTGTGTACTCCTATATCTATTCATCTCTATATTAGTTTGAAAGTTTTGGTCAGTTCAGATTAATTTTATATCCTTGTAAAAATCAGACCATTTATATTTGTTGAAACAGTAGAACTGTAATAATGCCAGGGTTCAATTAATCAGTGTATGGGATTGTTTGCATTGAGCCAAAAGATACGAAATTGAGAAAAAAGAAAAAGTATCAACAACAATGTTAATAAAATAGTATGTGGAGATGAGAAAATGTTACCACAATTCTAAGAGAGCAAACACTAGCAACAGAAAGGATTCAAAATAAGTATCAATTTCATTTAGAGGTGATGAAAAACATCTACAGAATTAAAATTCAATTATAAATGCTAATACTATAGGTAAGTTATAAATGTTAAATGAAGAAAAAGCAATAATATGGATCAAAATAACGGAGAACGAATAAGAGCCAGGTTTAAACTGTGTGTCTTTAAATTATTTCCAAAAACAGTAATACCATCTGCCCTCTGGTCCTAATTAAGGCTGTTCTACAGGTGGGAGCCATATTTAATGATGGAGCCTCATCTTGACCTTTACTTTTTACTTAAAGTACTAATAGAGACTGAGCCCAAACCAAACCCAAACCTGAACCCTGCAAAGCTCCATGATGTAAATCATGCTACCCTTGTTAAACTTTAGCTAAATGAATTTATTATAATGGGGGATGTACATGGAATTTAATATGCATTATGCACAAAACACTAATATTTAGAATTCAATCACAAAATATGACATATTTTCACAATCTGTATATCATACGTGTGCAACTAACTCAACACTTATACAATTAGTTCTATATGTGTCCAGCTCTGTATGTTGAAAATGTTAGATCCATCGATAGGACCTGGAGAGAAGCAGGGCCAACTTAGCTTAAACACACTATTTCATAATTTGTGAAGTATGATGGTACAGTGTAGGTTGAAAATCTGAGGAATAAGAATAGCAAAAGTTTAGAAAAGTACAGAAAAGGGTAAATTAAACACTTAATTTGAACAGATGGGTTTTACATTAACTACATGTTTATTGTCTATAATGTAATTAAATCAGCAAAACCTTAATGTTTAACTTTTTGCTTTAATCTTACATGAGAGTCTGCAATGTTAACCAAGTTCCTTCAACACACTATGAATAAACTTTTAACCTGAAATTAGAGAGTATATTTGTAAATTTCCATCAGTTTTAATCAAACATGCTTAGTCCATCGTTTAAATCAACAGTTTTAATCTACATTTGTCATTTTTAATATTAGGTGCATAAATAGAAATTTTTCAAGAGGAAAATTGTAATTTTACAAGATTACTATGTTGTTTTTAAGTAAATGTTGTACAAATGGATCTTTAAACATGCCTTTCAGTTGTCTATGCTCTATGCACAACTCCACTACTTGCTGAACTTGGGGGCAGCACTTTTGTTTCCTGTCTTTTTCTACCGGATGAACTGATTAATCCAGGTGTGAGCTAAGTAACCATGGCCAGACACACCTGGATTAATCAGTTCACCCAGTAATCAAAGACAGGAAACAAAAGAGCTGCATTAAGTTCACAAAGCATTGGAATTGTGGATAGAGCCCATTATTTTCACATTACAATTTTAAAATGTATAAACATAACTTTGTGTATAAAGAGATTTTAAGGAATTGTGTTTATCTAAATTAAAGTAACTTTTGGCTAATTGTAAAAAAATACAGTGCCTTGCGAAAGTATTGGGTTTACACATCGAGAAACTTGAATTTTGACGCAGTCTTTCTTGCAAAAAAAGCTGGAGCTCAGTGACGTTGGATGGAGAGCATTTTTGAACAGCAGTTTTCAATTCTTCCCACAGATTCTGGATTGGCTTTAGGTCTGAACTTTGACTAGGCCATTCTAACACCTGGATATGTTTATTTGTAGACCATTCCATTGTAGATTTAGCTTTATGTTTTGGATCATTGTCTTGTTGGAAGCTAAATCTCCATTCCAGTCTCAGGTCTTTTCAGACTCTAACAGGTTTTCTTCCAGAATCTTCCTGTATTTGGCTCCATTCATGTTCCCATCAATTGTAACCATCTTCGCTGTCTGTGCTGATGAAGAGCAGGCCCAAACCATGATGCTGCCACCACCATGTCTGACAGTGGGGATGGTGTGTTCATGGTGATGAGCTGTGTTACTTTTATGCCAAACATAACATTTTGCATTGTTGCCAAAAAGCTTGATTTTGGTTTCATCTGTCCAGAGCACCTTCTTCTACTTCCACATGTTTGTTGTCTCTCCCAGGGTTGTTGTGGCAACCTTTAAACATGACTTTTTGTGGATATCTTTAAGAAATATCTTTCTTCCTTAAAGGCCAGATCTGTGCAGTATACGACTGATTGTTGTCCCATGGACACAGTCTCCCACAGTCTCTGCATTTCATCAAGAAGGATCATGGGCCTCTTGGCTGCATCTCTGATCAGTCTTCTCCT